TCACTGCTTCCCCCCCCGCCCCGAAGCGAGCGCTGCGCGGCTTGCCGCGCGGCCCTCGCCGCTTGCAGAGCGTTCCCTGCGCATGCACCTGGGGACCGCCCCACGTGTGCACAGAAATCTCCCTCCCCCCCAGGTGCCCCCGATGTGCAGGAATAAGTATCCGAACACCAGGGGGCAACTTGGCTATTAGATATATAGATGTTCATTAGATATAAAACCCTGGAAGCTGAAAAGGAAACCCGGCTCCTAAATGTTCGGGGTGGTGCATAAAGCCAAAGAAATTCTGTCAAGGCCTGCTGCAGCGGTTAGAGAGCTGGGCACGGACCATGGAATCCTGGGCATGAAACTTACTGAGTGACCTTGAGCCAGGCACTCTCTTCCTCCCTAGCCTACCTCGAAGGGTTGTTGAGAGGATAAAATGGAGAAGTGGAGAACCAGGTATACCACATCAGGCTTCTTGGAACAGAAATACGCTAGATTGGTATTTGTATCAGCAAAATACGGGGCGGGGTAGGGATTAGTTCCCCATTTCTCTCAGAACCACAGCCCCAATCCACCACCGTCACCACCGTTTCAGCAGCTGTTATTTGCAGCCGGCACACATGTTGGTTATTACGCAGTGTTCCCTCTAAGCTGAGTTAGTGTGAGCTAGCTCACAGTTTTTTAGCCTCCGGCTCACACATTTTTGCCTTAGCTCAGGAAGGATGGCTCCGGAGCACACCAATTCATGCAGTAGCCAAATCGCTTGCTCACGACTTTAATGCCAGTAGCTCACAAAGTAGATTTTTGCTCACAAGACTCCACAGCTTAGAGGGAGCATTGGTTACCAGCTCCAGGTTGGGAAATTCCTGGATATTCTGGGAGCAGGGTGAGGGCAGGGTTTCGGGAAGGGGGGGGGGACTCCAGTGCAGTATAATGTCATAGATTCGGCCCTCTAAAGCAGCCATTTTCTCCAGGAAAGTTGATCTCTACCGCCTGGACACCAGTTCTAATCCCAGGAAATCTCCACCCACCACCTGGAGGTCGGCCATTCTGTTGGCCATGTATTTCCCATGTTATCATGTCGGATACATACTGTCGGAAACCTTTAAGAACCTCTGACAGTCAGCAAGGAGATAGAAAGGGGGCAACCAAAAGTTCACCTGCCCGGAGTGCCAAAAGATACCTGGGCCTCTAAACCCAGATAATGCCTGCCAAATCAACACATGCATGAAGTCACCTAATTTTATTTTATTTTTAAACTAGCTCTTCTTATCAGGCAGGCAAACCATGTTCGGCTTAATTGAATTGCCTGCTGACAAGCTGGTGATGCGCTCAGCCGCTATTCTGAGTTACAACACTCTCTGGGCAGTAATATTCTATTAAGGATTCACTGTGAAATGTAATTATTTTCGATAAGAGGCATCGATGCAGCCAGCGGAGCTGCCAGATTAATGGCTGCTAAAATGGCTGTTATCCTCCGATAATTTCAACCTGGGAATTAACAAAGTAAAAAGATTTTTTTTAAAAAAAAACCTCAACAGGTTTTTTGAAGTAGACTCTTGTCCTATAATCATTTATTTATTTTTTTATTGAATTTCTTAATCGCCCAATCCCTGAGTACACAGTGCTCTGGGAGATTTTTTTCCCCCCAACTTGAAAGCGTTTCTTTAATCACCAAGTATTTAAACTGCGGAATTATCTACCAGTGGATCACCACTACCATAAATGACTTTAAATGGGAATTAGTCAGATTTAGAACAGGTTAAAAGGTAAAGGTTCCCTTGCTCGAAAGCCAGTCGAATCCGACTCTAGGGTTGCGGTGCTTATCTCCGTTTCAAAGCCGAAGAGCCAGCGCTGTCCGAAGACCTTTCCGTGGTCATGTGGCCGGCATGACTAAACACCAAGGTGCACGGAACGCTGTTACCTTCCCACCAAAGTGGTCCCTATTTATCTACTTGCAATTTCTTGCTTTCGAACGGCTAGGTTGGCAGGAGCTGGAACTAGAGACGGGAGCTCACTCTGTCATGCGGCACACTCGGGTCTCGAACGGCTGAACTACCGACCTTCCACAGCCCGCAGTTCAGTGTCTTAACCACCTGAGCCACCGCAGCTCCTAAAGAGCTTTTTACTTTACCTTTAGAACAGGTTAAAAACATGCAAAAAAACCCCAGATTAAAATCAGCAGATCAATCGTTTCCTAATTTGATAATCTCCACACGGCGTCCATAATTTAATCTAAAACCTACTCTGGACCATTGCTCACTCTAAGCTGTGGAGTCTTGTGAGCAAAAATTCTGCTTTGTGAGCTACTGGCATTAAAGTTGCGAGCGAGCGATTTGGCTACTGCATCAATTAGTTTGCTCTGGAGCCCTCCCTTCCTGAGCTGAGACAGAAGTGTGTGAGCCGGAGGGTAAAAAACTGGGCTAGCTCACACTAACTCAGTTTAGAGGGAACACTGCTCTGGACTGTTCTTCTGCCTCGTAGGCAGGTTAAGGAGGAGGCCAAAGCGGGCGGGATGGAAGAAGAAGAAGAAGAGAAGAGATTGGATTTATACCCCGCCCTTCACTTGGAGTCTCAGAGCGGCTTACAAACTCCTTTCCTTTCCCCTCCCAACAGACACCCTGTGAGGTGGGTGGGGCTGAGAGAACTCTGACAGAAACTGCTCTTTTTCAAGAACAGCTGTGCCAGAGCTTGTGACTGACCCAAGGTCACACCAGCAGGTGCAAGTGGAGGAGTGGGGAATCAAACCCGGTTCTCCCAGATTAGAGTCCGCACACTTAACCACTACACCAAACTGGAAGAAAAGAGGAGGGTGCCAGCTATGATGGAACACTGTTGCTGCCCTCATCCAAAAGCCTGGCGGAACATTGCTGCCTTACAAACCCTGCAAAACTGCATCAAGTCCCACAGGGCCCTGATGGAAGTTTGAAAAGAGTTCCACCAGGTCGCAGCCAGGGCCTTCTTGGCCGTGGCTCCGATCGAGGACAGCTGGATATCTTGGAAACTCCCAGGAAAGATATGCCACTGCTATGTGTGAAGCTCCCTTACAGATCCACACTGGTAGAACACCAACTACCGTGTCTTGATGGCTTTTAGGCACCTGAATGCAAATACAGTCAACACCCCCCCACACACATCTAGCAAGAGAATAAAGCAACTTCAAAAAGAGAGGCTGTGGTTGAGCAGCAGACAACATACTTTGTATGCAGAAAGTCCCCGGTTCAGTCCCTGGCATCTCCAGTTCGCGTATGCCACCATAACATGCTTTAGAGCGGGGTGGCCAAAATGTGGCTCGGGAGCCGCATGAGCAGGGGTCATTTCGTAGAAAAAGAGGTGTGGGAGCTCATTAGCATAACTCAATAGCGTAACTCATTTGCATATGCCACACACCCTGACATCACTAGAAGTGTGTCAGAAGGCAACACCCACCGCTCAGGCTCCACTGGACTGTTTTGGATTGCTAGCTATTGGGGGGTGGGAACGTGCAGATCTGTCCTCACAGAGGAGGGAGAGCTTGTACCTGAATAAAACTTGGTCTTAAAGATGCCACTGGACTGTTTTGGGCCGGGGGAAAGGGGGAATGTGCAGATCTATCCTCGCAGAGGAGGGAGAGCTTGTACCTGAATAAAACTTGGTCTTAAAGATGCCACTGGACTGTTTTGGGCCGGGGGAAAGGGGGAATGTGCAGATCTATCCTCGCAGAGGAGGGAGAGCTTGTACCTGAATAAAACTTGGTCTTACCCTGCGCATGAGGCTCTTTCACACATATTGTGCGGCACCCGACAGGGCGGCTGGGGAAGCTAAATATCATTAGCAAACAAATATCACTGGACAAGTAAATATCATTATCAATACCTGCTTTTACCACTTTTGTTATTATATTTGGCAGTCTCATTTAATGTTAATAAAAAGCAAATTTGCATATTTCCCAGTAAAAACGTGCAATATCTGCTCATGCCTTGCAGCTCTCAGACATCTGACATTTATTCTATGTGGCTCTTATGTTAAGCAACGTGGTGCCCATGGGCACCCTGGCACCGTCAACATCTTCCTGGTGCCTATTAAGCCTTTTTAGAAAGTGGGTGGGGCCAAATGGGGCTTTTGCCCACAGGGCTTCTGATTGGCTACTGGAGATCTGATTGGCTTCGCAGATTTTTAAAAATGTTGCTTTGGCAGCAGCTTCTGCCACAGAACAAGGATCTTAGCTGCATGTGTAAAGGTAAGCAACAAAATATTTTTAAACCATATATTGGTTTTAAAAAGCATCCTCTTAAACCCAGCTTAACCTCACTTCCTGACACTGCATGGTTGGCTCCGCCTCCCGTGGCAGCCATTTTGTGGCTGCGGTTACCACCCTGGGCCAGAGTTCCAAAGATGCCCGCGTGCTCAAAAAGGCTAGAGATCCCTGCCTTAGAGAAAGAGAGGGACACGCTAGCGATAGATGAGCCCCCTGGGCAAGCCATAAATGTAATAAATAAATAAATAAAT